GAGAATATTTTCTGCACTTGTATTGGTATTTATAGGGAGATGTTTTCAATCCATGGCGGGATGGGGCTGTAAGGTCCACTCTGTGAAGAGTAGATCCAGACTCTTGTGAAACATTTCTGCATGAATAACAATATACAAATACTTGAAATTGGTGTGAGAAGCTCTATGAGGGGCGGACTCACCAAACACATCCCTGCGAGTATGGGTGTCAATTGGACTGGCTTTGGTCCAATCCAGTCTAATGTGAGTCCATCATAAATGGACCAGGTTCAATCCAATCCAATAAATGTTTTAGACCAATTTGGACCGGCCCAATTCAATGTCTGGACCGTCCAATCTGTTCAAATTCATTTTGATTTAGATTGGTTTCAACCCAAACCTGGTTCATTGACACATATATTCTTATCTTATATCAATGGACTAAATATTGGCTTAATTTAACCCAATCCAATATAAATTTGTTGTGAATGAACCAGGTCTAATCCAATCTAATAAATATTTTTGACTAGATTAGTTCAATTCAATATGTCTTATTGGTCTGTCCAATCCGTCTAAATTGATTATGGATGGGGTCCAATTCAAAACCGGTCCATTAACACCCTTACTTGTGAGCCTACCACCCCGATGTATTTGATAGGTTACCTATTTGTGATGTAGTAGGACTCCCCAATATATCATATATCACTATATCTATAAATTTTGGCTGAAATTCAATTTTTTGTAGAAACACAAATCTGGATCATCATCATCATGCTCCCCTTTCTTATGATGATGGTACTAAACAGGATGGAATAGTGAAATAGTACCATTCTGTTCTGTTGAGTACCATACCCTGTCTCACCTTTCTATTCTCTTCAATGTCATATCCATTGTTTAAATATGACCACTTAAATCATCTCTTATTAGTTTCACCCAAAGTTCTTTTTGACATCTGTCTAGTTCTCTTAGCCCCTTTAACTTATAATGAATCATTTTTTTTTTCTAACAGATGTTGTAAATGATTTTCTATACAAGTGATCAAACCATCTCGATGACAATTATATCTCACAAATCTGAATGATCTTATATATTTAGTGTGTGGATGGAATGATCCAGAATTGAAATTTCACAAAATCTCACACTTATCCACCACGTTTCCACTCATATTCTTCAACATTTATTAAGCTTTTCTCTCTAAAACTCAATGTAAAAGAAGAAAGCAAGATTTTAAAAACTGACCCGGAATTAGAACCGTTCTAGGAAAGATTAAAAAAATCGACATGTATCGGCTAGTATATATCGTATCGAGAGCACCCCGATATGCCTTTACAGAGGATGTATCGTGGTTTGACCGGTTCAGGGGGTGGAGGAACCTTAAACCAGCCCCCTGAACCGGATTTGAAAAAAAAAAAGTACTGATACTGCCCAATATGCCCCTACCGGTGCATCGGATGCATCGATATTTAGAACCTTGGTTTTTGGGTCAACGGTTTGATCGTTTGGTTTGAATGGATAATCCATTCCAATTAAAAAAAATTAAAAATTTTAAAAATAAATAAAATAACAGCCAAAAAACCTTGAATGGGTCAAACGGATAGACAATTCAACCACCTAGGTCAGTGGATTGCTGACTAATTCAACAATTTTTTGCCTGGGTTTAGAGTAAAATGGAACTGGTTGCCTGAATAGTTTTTGGGCTGAATGGTCTCACCATCCAGTTAAGGGTGGTTCAAAAACACTGAGGGTCCATTGATTTGCAGTCAGAATCAGAATCGAAATCATAATCAGAATCAGAATGGTCTATTCCCATAGTTTGGTTAAGACATGAATGGAAATGTGAATTGGGGACTCCACGGGAATGAGATTTCATTCCCAAGAGAGAGGCAGGGAATGGCCATTTCATCAAATGAGGGAATGCCATTTCAACTAAAATGGGAATGGGATTTCGATTCCGCCCAACCTGTGAACCAAAGGGGCCCAATAGAAGCATTCAATTAAAATAGGAAGAGAAGGAGACCTGAACTGAAAATTGTTAAATAAAGGAATAGCTGGGTTTGCTAGACTGGTTATTAATAGAAGAGACGTGGAGTCCAGAGTCCTCAGATATCAAAAGAATCTTGCACATGGGCTTTGTTGGTCGGAAGTGATTAGTGTTCCATCTTCAGTCTCAAGTCACAGACTACGGCTTCATTCGAACAGGATCTGATTCATGGATTTGTTGTACTCTGTACCCTTGCCTTGAGTACTAAAGAGACTGGAGACTGGAGCCTTAGCCTTTGTTTGTGAGACGAATGAAATCGAATACCCCTGTGATCACTTGAGTGGGGAGTGATTTACGGCCTAGCCATCTATGATTCAAACCCTTTACAAAATAAGAGAATAGTCTCCCGGCCGTAGGCTGCCGGAGACAGTCCGTGGCCGCTCTGCTGCTTGATCAGACCCCAAATTTACTCGGCGGAAACAAAGATAAACAAAATGATAGCTTCCACGATCTAAAACGGTACATAACTGGACTTACACAAGGACCAGAAGTGCCCTAAAGCTCCACACAAAGCCTTCAGACTTCAGAGCCTACTGACCCTACCTTCATTAATAAGTCTACAACCCACCAAAAAAGTACACCAACAAAAGATCCAAAACTCACAGGACCCAAGAAAATCTCAGACCCAAAACCCATCTCCAATCCCTAATAGGTCTGAAAAACCTGAGAAACCAAGCCCTCCAAACCCTAGAACCGACAAAACTGGTATTGAATGCAGCACTTATTTTTTAAGTCCTTTGTCTGTGTGCAGCCCCACTTACCTACCTTTCCCCGCCCACCAACTAACCTTAAAGAACATCTTCCATCTTCTTTAATCTTTACATATAATTATTATATATCTCATGGAGATGTGGGCTTTCTCCCCCTAAGCATTTCAAAATTCAAAGCCACAGCAGGCCCACAACAAAAAAAGCTTTCTTGCTCTACAAAAGAGCAGAGAAGACGTGGGGATTGGGGAATGATATCACGTTTCTAATCAATGCCTTTATTTTTCTATGGTGCATTGAGTTTATGAGATGGAAAAGGCTTTGTACCTTTGGCCATTTGATTATTGCTTTTGGGGTTCTGCTTTGATGTGGAAGAAGGGAACCTCTCAAATAAAGGGGTTAAGGAGTGCTCTTTAGTTGCCAGATTGGGCCTATGAAATGGGTTTTGGGCCTACTGAGTAACCAGGAAAAAAGACCCATCATCATGATTCCACTTCCACCTAACCTCAATGACCAGTCATGGTTTCAGGAAAGAACAAGTGTTAACACCCCCTGAAGCCCTAACTACAAACAGGCTTTTGTTTTAGAAAACAAGAAAACAGACTTCATTTGAGAAACTGCTTAGAAAACAAGAATACATGATAATGAATAGAGCAAAAGTACATAGAAATGATCTACGTGACTTCATTTGTAAAGCCTGATCTGATGTGTCTTCCTCTGTATTGTGCAGGTTTCATGCCTTGGGTCTTCAAGATAACATCCAAACTGATTCTCCGTTCATGTATATAAGAGCTTCATTAAAATATTAAAATACTCTATTATACCCTCAATTTTACTTGCCGGTATTCATTGCAATTTACAAAAGATTTTTTTTTTACAATTTACAGAATATTGGAGCCCACCATTAGATGGGTCCCATATTAAATGTTGTCTACACTAAAATCATCATAATAAACTATTCGTTTTTAATTTACAATCAGAGTATTGTATTGGATAGGAGGAAAGAAGTTACATCTCCAAAAGTAATTTAAAGAGGTAGTACTAGGGATATCTTTTCTGATTTCTGAGTCAACCCATTTATAACCTATCCAACCACCTACTTATTATCCATAATCCATCCAGTCCAGCAGGAATGCAATTTGGCACGGGCCGATTTGAAAATTGAAACCTCACTGACCCAATCCAATTTTGAGTTCGATAAAGTCGGGTTGGTGATAATCGGGTCTAACCCAAGCCGATTTTGGATGAATTGGATTAGAGTTGATGCTTCGGACAACTTGACCCGATCCAAATTCATCCTCTAAAATAATCGTACTGGGTATACATATATTATGTATTACCTATCATACGCTTACTAATATTTGTAAGTATCATTAAATATTTTTCTATAGTTTTAGCTTTAATGAGACTATAAAATCATCTTACAGTATAATATTGAGATTTTTGTCATACATTTACCACGCCAACCTTACCCAATCTAACCCAATTAGAAAAATCGGATTACTTGGATTGGGTTAGGATTACATATCCAAAAGGTCAGGTTCGACTCATTGAGTTAGGTAGGATTGAGCTATTCTTTGCCTTGTGTCGGGCTTTGATTGACCTCAACCCAACCCAGCTCGAGTTTCACACTAAACACTCACACAGCGAGTTGGAAATCTGGTTGAATCACCCACTAGATCAACTTGTACGGGATGGGTTAGCTAGGTAAGCATCTTCTGGCGAGCTGGATCGTGTAGTTCATGGAATCCCCAATCAACATAAAGAAGCCTTGGATCGTAGAGGGAAGCACTTGATCGTTCCTTTTAGATGATGTTTGGAGGTTTAAATGGGTATAGACAGGATTTGTGGGCTTCATGGCGTATCCTAATTTGGTATGGGCTGGATTAGGTATTGAGTTCTGGGCTTCATTTTAGATACAAGATGCTTCCTAGTTCTAGCCTAAGCATGGGTGGTGCAAGTAACAAACCTGAGTTGTTGAACCCCAATACCAAGCAGGTTGGATTCGGGTTGGTCCGAGTTCCTCACTTTATTTTGCTAAAACATTCTTATTTCTTAAGACTTAAGACTTAAGATTAGCATTATAGAATATATTTTTTGTTTTATATTAATTTTAATCTCTCCGATCCTTAGCTTATGGATTCAGATATGCCCCTATCCACATTTGATCTAATCTGCTTGCAACCCTAACCACAAGGAGATATCATCCTCAAAACACTAAATAAGAAAACAAAATCAATTTGAGCATTTGAATAAATGACCATGGACTGGTGTTGCTGTAATTCTCAAACTTTTGTTTTGTTCAGTATATAAATAGATCCCAAAATACATAGATTTACATATGCCACAGCATGAACATAGCTGGATCAATAACTCTAAATAATGTTTTATTTTTTTATATAAAAGTGCGTATCAAGGACAGCTTAGATGACAAAAAAAAATTCATGTAAAGATCATTATAAAACCTTTTTTTTTTGGATAGTATAGTTGGATATTTGGTACCCTCACTCAATATATTAGATCTTTGAAGCATCTGCTGTAACTCTGCTTAAAGCAATTGCTGCCTTTGCACCTGATGGGCGGGCTAAATGCTTGCAAATAAACTCTCCAGCCGACATGAGCTTTCCAAGATCAACATTGGTCTTCACACCAAGTCCATTGAGCATGTATACAACATCTTCGGTGGCAACATTCCCTGATGCACCCTTGGCATATGGGCACCCCCCGAGGCCAGAGACGGAAGAATCTATTGTGCTAATTCCCATCTGTTAATAATCAACAAAACAGAAAAGAAAAAAAAGGATATGAATGAAAAGAACAATGACATTCAAGGTGGAAGAACCCAACCTTGCTTCGGCCACTTGGGTTTTACACTTGCAAGGAGTCTAGGATCTTCCACCCTTGAGGATTCAGGAGAACAACCCGAATCTTCTCCATTTGAAATAGCACAAACATAATGCTTTCCATGAATCTTGACCTACTCCGAAAAAACTATTCACTGAATGTTCGGGGTCATATAATTAATAAGGTAGGTAGTTTCTAGTTTTAGAAAAAAATGGGTCATATAATCAGGTTTTCTAAGCCTTGCAAAGGTCAGACCCATCAAAAGATCCACCTCCATCTGGGGGCTCAACCAAAATATAACTAACAAATCATTTGGTGTATTTAATTTAGGGCTATCTTCATTTAGGAAATCATAACCTGACTGCTTATGTGCTTTTATCCCACCAAAGGGAAGTGCATATGAAATCATCATAATCTAAAGGTAGAAAAACATAGCCTGACTCAACCAGGTCCTAATTAAGTATGAAAATTAGACATGGGACTTGGTTAAGTTATAGGTTGACCAATTCTGTAGTTCTGCTTTGGTTGACTCCAGAGTTTGGATCAGGTCCCAACAGCCTTTGCAGCTGTGCATTGGAAACATCTCCCATGTCCTTCATGGCAAGATGTTACCAACACTGCAATGGCCATTGGGACAGGTTGTTGGGGCCCTGTTTTGGGACTAGATCTGGTCTCATTGACTCCAACCTGTGCAGGTTGTCACCCCTATAACCTCAGTAGAAGAAGAATATTTCATCCCATCATCTTATCCCGACACAAACTCTTAATTCATTTAAGTATATTGCCATTGGGGTTTCTTCTTTTCACACACAAATTGAGTTGCACAAGGCTGCTTACTTGGAGAGATATCAAAATATTTGCCAGAGATTGGCCATAAGTGTCATGAAAATGAACAGCAAGCCTCTCAATAGGAACAACGGCCATCACGGCTTCGAGCATCGGAACAACAGAACCTGTTTTGAGTGAGGAAAGAAAAATAAGTGTATTAGAGCACCATAAAGACTAGATATGCATCCAAAAGTGAATAGCAACAAGAGAATATTCATCACAGCATATAAGATCTTTGAGTACAACAATATTGACTTAGAGCAAATAGCAAGGTACCAATTTTGTATACACTGGACAAACAAAATAAGTTGTCTAAGTACAAAAATCATTAAAATCTGTCATTCCTCCAGCTAATCCCACATGGAAGGACCTAACAGAAAATTTTCGTTTTGGCTCCTCTTTCCAAAAAAAATTCACCCCTTTGCTCTGGGAAAACAAGGTCACCCTCAAGCTTCTGAAGAAGTGAAGGTTTTGTAATTTCCCTATTTAAAGGAGGTCTGTGGAAGATGGGTTTCCATACCACTGAACTGCCTTGAATGGAAAAGAAATCATTCTATATCTTTTCCAGCTTGAGTGAAGACTCCAATAAGGCCTTGGGCAAGGGAACAAATCTCAACCAATCATCTTCCCCAAATCTAATTCCTATCCATCTCCGACCTTGTGTTATGTAGTAGATTTTTTTCAATAGATGTTTTATTTTTTTTTCCTTTCATAAATTTTAATCTCTGAAAGGCATGCCTAGATAACCTAACCTATTGGAAAAAGAGATTTCATCTCAAATATAAAACAGAAACAGTATAGTGCTCCTGATGTAATAATTGGGCCACATGGTAATCAATCAGGACCATCCAAATACTAGACTAGAACTTCAATTGGCCAAAAACCAAAACTTTTAACTTCAAAAAATAGAAACCAAAGATATGGAAACAATTAAAAGTTAATATGGCAGCAACCAAAGATATATAGGGAAAGCTGCATCTAGTTGAGTGGTTGAAATTGTAATAATCCAACCATGGTGATATAGTCTGTAGCCAAACCAAGACCTCACCCATTTTGGCATTTAGGATTTATGATCACATGGCTAATTGTAAAAGATCTGTATAGACAATGGAGATCCTCAACCTACAGCCTTCTGATGGATGGCCAAGTTCCACATTTACCATGAGGAATGAGAGAGATAACTTATCAAACCTAAACTTTTGTATTACATAAATCCAAAATTTTAGTCACATTCAAAGTTATTACATTTATCAGATATGAGGTTATATCCAGATGGATAATTTCTGCACTGCTCCATAAGGGAAATTCCAAGTCCAAAGAATTTCTTGATGAAATACTTATAAACTTAGTTTCTCACTTGATGCACTTTTCAAAAACTCAAGTGGTTCAGAAAATTACCAGGTGTTCCAACCCCGATTGTGTCACCAAGGGAGATTTCAGAGCAGCCCATGTTATAAAGCTCTTTTGCCACATATGCCACTTTTGATGGAGGAACTGGTCCTTCCACTGGACACCCAACAACACATGATACATACCTACCATATCAATTATTTCAGTTATGTTATATTAACACAATGAAAATAAATGCATTGTTACTGCTAATTAAGTACAATAAAAATACAATAACTACAAGCATCCCAATCCAATAACATTCTCATGGAACATAGCTTTTGATCCTTTTCATCTTATTTGCCACCAAAGAAGGAAACTTTAGAAAGGATAAACAATGAATAGGAAGAATTGCAAACACTCTTAGCACAAATTCTCTTTCCTCCAAAAGAAGGATTCCGTCATTCTCATCCCAACAACCACCCGTCAAAGCTCCCAAGAACTAGAATTCAAGAATATGCTGGAGTTGCTTCAGTGCCCATTGGTAAGCCCAAATATGCCGACAGAATATTTCTGAATGTTTCTGGCACCACACTTCAAACATACAGCATGATCCTCTAAGTTATATACTCCAACCGCTAAGCCCGTCCCCAAGTTGGAAACAAAATATGATAATAGCATAGGAGTGTTGGTGCATGTGATGCATGCATAATGCAATGCAGAAAACTCATAAATTTTCAGAAAATCAAGTATCCTCATACATAGATTCAATAAAGAGAAAAAACAAACAGTTTCTGCAGTAAGACAGAAAAAGGAAATCTTCAGTAACAGTTAGACAAGCCAGAGAACATACCCTCGAACAGGAATCGAGAGTTTTTTGGCGGCAAGGGTAACAGTACAGTAACGAGTAAGGCTATCTTCAATACTACAGTTGATGTTGGACTTCGAAAAGGATTCAGAAGCTGATGCAAAAACAGCAACTTCCTTAGCTCCAGCTGCAATAGCAGCTTCAAAACCCTACAAGCAGGCAATAAAAAATTTAGCAAAAAAAAAAACCCTCTGCAATTCACATAGTTCATTAATATTTGATCTGGACAAGACTGCTTACTTTAAGATTAGGAGTTAAGACTGGGAATCTTGTTCCTTCAACATTTCGAATTGCTTCCATTACATCCTTTGCATCTGCTAACTGAAACATAATAATAGAAATCATGATCTCATGGATGGTTTCTTAAAGTCAATTGTCAGAAAAGTAAATGTCTAATATACCAATCAAAGAGAGATAAGACAGCAACAAAATTTACAAAATAGAAAACTAGAGATAAGCTTCAATATCTAATTAATTAAAATTTAACCAATACTTATATTTATTATGTTTGACATATCTATTGCTTTCTAATCTGTTTTTGATTGATAATGAAATATTATTTTAGAAAAAAAAAACAATTGAAATGCAAGAGAAGGATTAGTGCCTGGATGCTTCAAATTGTAAAATTGGTAAGATCTTAAAGATTCAATGTCTCTTGTAGAAGACTAGATTGTCTTGCAAAGCAAGACAAATAAAGTTACTAAAATACCAATCCTATCTCCTTGGAATCTTCCTTGAAATATTCTCCCTTTACTGTTTTCTGCCATGGGATTGCTAGAATGGGTTTAGTAATGGTAACTTTTGTAATTTATTATTTTTTACAAATTTCTGTTTTCTTTACATTAAGTTGATTTTAATAGGATTAGTGAAGTTATATTGGAATTGTTTTAGGAGTTAGAATCCTTATTTAAGGTCCCCTATAGGTTGTAATCTTAATCTTCATATATATATATATATATATATATATATATATATATATATTTAAATCTGACCGTTACTTATCAAAAGCAAAAAAGAAAAAAAGAAAATCACTATGGGTTATCTATATGTTTGTCTTAGTTTCAAAGGAATTCTGAAGTTGTTTTAGGTCAGTTTCCTATTCCAAATTAGAATCTATAAAGGGACCTCTGAATTCTTAAGTCTATAAATAAAGTCATTGCAGTTGAAGTTAAGAGGAGTTGATTTGATGAAATAGGAGTTTGGTTTCATGAATTCTAGTCTTTACCAAGAAAACTAGAATCTCCCTCCCTCCCTCACCTCTCTGCTCATCAGAGAAAAGCAGGCCTATAAAGTACAAAGTAGGAGGAAACAAGGAACTACAAAAAATAGCCACAAACATAAACCTTACAAATTACAGCCCAGGCCTGGACAACCCCAATATAATACCTCTTTCCCCAACCCTGCTCTTGCTAATGAATCTGCCAACATATTTGCACTTCTGGGAACACTATTGAATGAGGCATTCAACAAGGTCCCAATTGCAACTGCCACCCTCACCAACTGCCTAAACTCCCACAGTAGATGATCTTGTGCTTTCGTCCAAGAAATCACAGTTTCACAGTCCCCCACTACTATAACATCTTTCCACCCTTGCTACTGTATCAGTTTTAATCCTTGAATCAATGTGAATAATTCTGCCCTAAAGAATTACCCTGTCCTACTGGACCTGTAAAGCCAGGGATAATATTGCCATGCTGATCTCTTACCCCCACACTAGAAGGGCCTGGGTTCCCAAGGCAACACCCATCAAAGTTGAACTTAATCAAACCTGCTTCACGATGATACCAGACCGGCACTCTTTGCTGTTTGCTAACCTGGAACCCAGAACCTGTTTGCTATCCCATCAACAAGTCATTGATGGGAACTCCCTTAAATTCCTCAGTCACTAGTACCCATGTGCCACCCTTATCAATGTCATCATGCCTTTTCAACTGATTTTATTACTCCACAAATAGTCTTGCATTCTTTTCACACCACAACCCCCACAGAATTGCTTCCCTCATACATTGCCAAAGGATCTTCTGCCTCCAAGTAGAAAAACACATGAAATCTATCTTGAACAGGTCCACAGCCCCACTTGGTTCAACCCAGTTCTTACCCACTAAAGAAAGAAAGTGCTTCCATAACCGAGATGCATAGGGACAATGCAAAAACAAGTGGTTGGTGACCCCCCTCCCCCCCCACACACACACATGAGGTGAAAGGTACCGGTTTTTCCACTTCCTTTGGAGCTTCTCGTAGGTGTTAATGATTTGATTGACAACTTCCCAATAAAAAAATCTTGACTTTCAGGGGAATTGGACAGAAACCACTATTCTCTAGCAGGAAAGGACTGAGACTCAAGTGAAGGAAGCAAGGTTTTAATAAAGGAAGCACAAGAGAATGAACCTTTAAAATTGGGAGCCCAAATCCTCTCATCACAATCTGCAGGGGAAAGCTGGACATCTTGGAGTAAATCAAGCATAGGGATTAATTCACAAACTTCAAGGTATCTCACAGGTCTTCTTAAACCCATTCCAAGCCAGCCCATTCCTTTCCCTGCTTGCCATTTCAGCTATTCTTTTGTTTTTGAAAGTGGACAAGCTTAGATTCTAGGAGAAGAAAGACACAGAGGAGAATCCCCCCACCACAAGCCCTCCCAAAACTTCACCTCTTGTCCTGAAATGCCATCATATCTAATATGTTGCACAAATTTGGGAAGTCAAGATCATTTTCCACAGGCTTCTAGCATTAGCACCCTTAGCTGGTCCTGTGTCTCAACCATTTGGATGCACCCCATAAATGCTTTTAATAACCAGATGCCACAATGCCTCGCTTTCTTTAGGAAACCTCTGCAGCCACTTGTCTAAAACAGTCTTATTGCTCTCAGTCAACCACCCTATCCCCAACCCACCCCCTCTCTAGACTTACAAACCCCCTCCCACTTCAAAAGATTATTTTTATCCTGTCCTACATCAAAAGTGGGTCACACAAGGCCACTCCAAAATGGAAGAACCTTGTGGGTCAAGAAAATTGGTTGAATTTGTACATAAATTCATTGCATCAGATTGGTTCAGGCCTTCAAAGTAATGGGCAGAAGTTCAGGTTATCTTGGAAATACCCAACCCCAAGCCTGGGAAAAGAAATGGTAGGTTGGGAGATCACCAACCCTGAAGAGAACATTGACATGTCAACTGATCAAGAGGTAGATAATAAAAATAAAGAAAATATGTTACCTGTGGTACCCATTTTGGTGAAACAAAACTTGTGGCCTCAACAACAGATAATCCAGAAGATGCTAGTCTTTGTATCAATTCAATTTTCACAGCTGTAGGCACCATATTCTTCTCATTTTGCAACCCATCCCTTGGACCAACTTCTACAATCTTTACAAACTTTGGTATCCCTCTTAAAAACTGTAGCACAGAACAAATATTGAGATTAGGCAACACTATATATATATATATATATGACGAACTTGAGAAAATGAAAATTATGCCCATAAAAACAAATTCAGGATATGGCATTTAAAAACTAAACTTGAACAGAAGATATAGATCATGATGAAGAAAATTTTCAATTCAGCTCGTAATTAATGTCAAATCACTTTGTTTATTAAAATAAGCCAAAGACACTACAATTGGAGAAAAAAAATTAGGGAGTCCATCCAACATTAATAATATAATTAAAACAAAACATAACAAACAAACTTCAATAACAAAGGTGTATTAGGGATTTTTAAGGTACCTTGTTTGTTAGATCCCTTATGCCATTTTCACTGCCATGGGTGTTATATTGTTGATTGGGCATATAGGAATCACAAACACTTCCAAATACCCTATGGTTCCTACCAAAGCTTGACATCTTTCGATTTAAGGAGCTTCCCTGTGACCCATCCCTTGTCTGTCTTCTCCATGGAAATGTGTCTCTAGTGTATTCTTCACTGTAAAAGAAAAGCATATGAAAGTTAAATTGATCATGATATCCAAAAACAAAAATGTAAACCATTCACCGCTGATGGATAGAAACATAACAACTTGACGAAGTCTAAAATAACTCTATGAAACTTCAGAAATTTCCAGAACAAATTTGAAAATTTTTCAACCCACCCTTCAACACAACCCAAATAACACAACAAGAGGAAACCAAGGTTTAACCAACAAGACCTTTTAGCAGTATCAATATATATAATTTAATATGATCAGACTTCTTCAATCAAAGATTTTCAACTACCTTGCTCTTATCTCCTTTGCACTAGTCTTTCTAACAGGCAAAATAACAAGCATGGGAATTCCAAGCAACATTTTCATCTTAAAAGTTTACCAGCATCACCACCCCCTCTCCTTTATCTCAAAATTTACAAATTATTCTACTCTCTCCTTTGATAATCTCTTGTGCCCTCTGCCCATCTCACTTCTTACTGCTTCATCCTCTCCACCCATAATCCCACCACTGCCCACCTTAAAGTCCTAAACACATCTATTTCAATACTAACAAGCCCATTCCCTATCCTGGTTAATCCAATTCCTCTCTCTTACATGTTAGAAAAACTACCATCCCTTGTTTTTTGTTTTATGACTTCATTTTATGCTTCTTCTGAATCTCTTGTATTTAATTTTCTCTTGCAACTCCAAAAGCACTTCTACAAATGGATCCCCACAAAAGAATATTCCTAATTTTTCTTTTCTACTTGTACTTAGGTATTAACCACCTTCCTCAAATTCATCCCCTTGCATCCCCATCCAAAAGGAATGTCACTGTCATCAACTTAATTTTACACAGCTTCCTTGAAACCTTGTTCCAGGTGATCTTCAGCATCATCATCTATCTCTCTAGGATCAATGCCTCTATCATTGATCAGTACCAATAGTTCATCACCAGTCCTGAAGTTAGCAATCCCATGCAACACCACCTCACTGCGCCATAACACCTCACTAACCTCCTCTGCTGTACAAGAATGACCAAAAAGAAAAATTACATTGGTACTATCAGAGGAGAAAATTACATCGCCAGAACCTCAATGAGTAGGTTGTAGCTCGGATTTGGTCTCTTTCATCTCACGGCAGTGAAGAAAATTTAGATGGCTGCTCTGTCTGAAATCCAAGCTGCTTTGGACATGGAGGTTCTTCTATGGATCCTGAAAAAGGTGATTCCTCTTTACTCTAGTCCAATTGATCTGGAATTTCCATATAGCAGATATCATTACTTCAAGGGATGAGACTAATGCATTTCTTAGTCTTCTTAAGAGACTCTTAAGTGATAAACTGATAATCTAGTGTATGAAAGAGTAGAGGTGTAAAACGGGCTGTGCTGGGCCAGCATGGCACCGCCCGCGTGTGAACCGGGCCGGGCTGGCCTGCAGGCGTTCCGGGCCATGCCTTCCTCCCCTAGGATATTTTGGGGGGTCAGCCCGGCACAGCCCATGGCCCGAGCCCGTGCGGACCTGTGTCGTGCCACGGGCCAGGCTGGTCCGTGGACCAAGCCTTAGGCCGGGCCGAGCCAGAGCTATTTATTTAAAAAAAATGAAAAAATAAATCCTAAAATTTTTATTCTATATGAATTTTGATATATACAATTGTTTATATATACAATAATTAAATAAAATAGTATAATAAAATTGAAAACAATTGTTTATTTTATTAATATATTATATACTATATATTATTATATAATTATTATTTATATAATATATTATATATAATATATAATATATAAATATATTATTATAATATTTATAAATATAGCCGTGCCGGCACGCAGGCCTGAAACCCCAAGCCCGGCACGACACATACAATCATGTCGGGCCATGGGCGGCATGGCCCGATTTACACCTCAATGAAAGAGGGTGGGGAGACTGACCATTGCCATTACATCATCACATTAAGGAGGTATATCTCTGGCCACCAGAACTCATTCATGGATTCAGATCAGTCAACTCATGTTTGGAAAGCCTCATCAGAGCTTGTGATGACCGATTAGATCATTACTTTGTTCAGCCATGCCACAGTAGGTGTGGTGTGGTTTTCCTAAATTTCTGCTTCTTGTATTTTGGTGGCCTTACATACAAGGCAGGGTTTTCCTTGGGAACTGATGTTTCATTTATCTCTTATATCCTCCTTTCATCATCTCATAAAAATTTTCCATTATGACAATAATGAAAAGCTAGTCATAACTCATAAGTAGTTAATGCTTGCCTTTTAGGCAGTTATGCTTATACCAAAAGGAATGTTAAAATAACCACAGTGTAAAGACCAAAGATAGCATATTTAATAACATTTCTTGCCCTTATAGAAGCAGAAAATTCAACTATGTTAAGTGAAGAAAGCAAAATTTTTCTTGGGTTAATGTTTCAAATTTCTCTACTGACTCACTATTTTGTATCTAGAATACTTATGTAGATTTTTGAATTCTCATATACTGTACAGTCACACACATTAAGGGGCATTTCTCCCAATTTCTTTAGTAGTATAACCATGCTGCACCTTTTCTCCAAAAAAAAAATAAAAAAACAAGAAGAGAAAAGAAAAGAAAAGAAGAAAACACAGCTCACAATTGAGTAAAGAAGGAAGAGTCCAAACTCATTCTGAATAAACTGCTTATAGTTACCATTCTCATAGTAGTAGCAGTAGTTCTAACAAGAATATTATTATTTAAAGAAACTATCCAGGAGGCATATGCATCACATATGGTAATAAAATGGAAACCCTACTTTCAGAGAGGCTTAAAAGTATGGAAGAGGTTATGTGAAAGTGAGGTTTTTGCTTAGGTAAATAAGATTTTCTACATGCATTGGTGAAGCAGGGTATCCACTTTACATGGTAATAGATGGAAATTTGCATACAAGCTTCAGCTTGATAGAATCATGGAAAATAGACTTACTCGCAACTGTTTGATGAGCTACAACTCCTACCCTCGATCCAGAAATTTCCCATTCCCATGTCATCTGGCATGGGCCTACAAGCACTAGATGAGAACCTTTGAAGCCTATCAATATCAATGCTAGGAAAGTTATCAAGACCAAGTGGCTCCTCCAAACTTGACATTGTGGAATGAAACACAAAAACAGGAACTGGAGAGAAAAAAAAATGCATGGGATAAGTGCTTCTGATGGATAAAGTTTAAACCCATGTAAACATTAATGAAGCTAGAAAAATCAAGTCCTCATCAGGCTTTTGCAAGGAAATAGAACAACATATTGAAATAGTGCATCAAAGAACATCCACATCAAGGAGCATTTTCTTAGTTCAGCACATTTTAGAAGAAAATTTTATAACTAAGATCCAGTACATAAAGTCATAGAGCAGTAATATTATTCAAATTATTTTGCAATGGCATGTAACAACTGGCAATATTAATTCCTTTAGTATAGGTCTTACAAAAAGCTTATGAAGATTCTTAAGTGAAGATTTTGTAAAATGAAATTCAACATAGTGATACACAACAAGACATGATCAGACAAGACATATTCTAAAATGTGCAAACCTATGTATGTAAATACTTGTTGGCTGCAAAACCTATGTCCAACAGAAAACAGGGACAATGTATTCTATGCAGGAATTCCAAACCCACAGGCCTCATGAATTCTGATCATTCATTTAGCATTGCCTCACATTACCTAGAGAGGGAATAAAAGATGATAGGCTAATAAAATCTAACAAATAGAAGTGTAAAAATTAATAAGAAACTCTATATTGCTCATTATTCCATAATTTACAAAACAAAAGGCAATAATCAATTCTCAATTCCATCCTCAACTTGTCTTTATTTCTTAAATCTGGAACCTGACCAGACTTCTTCAAGTACTAAATAAAGTTAAGGAATTGAAACTGAAACCATGGAATAATATATGAAAGATCATTTTGATTATCTCTTCATCCTAAAAAGGAAAAAAAATTATGCCTTGTCAAAGGGAGGAAGGGAATTGAAGATGAGAAATTCATCAAACATCAAAAATAATAATAATTATTATTATTTAAGTTGGTATAATACGGTAATCCATCCAAGGAATGATTCCTCAATTACCCCAACCCAAATATCTTCAAGAATCAAGCAAAGATACTCTACCACTCCAAGTAATTCTCTTTATGACCATTACCAACAAATGCAGCAAATATCAACACACTGACGAAAGTAGTATCCTTAACCAAAAGCATTTGAAGTATCCACCAAAGATAGAGCTTGAGCAGAAGCAAGAGTATAATTAAATTAATTTTGTATAGTATCTAGGAAGCGTTGGCACAATTCATTAGAAAATAACCTGTAATATGATTAACTTCCGAACCTAGATTCACAGTGAAGTAAGCTCACAAAATTACGATTAAACTACAACGTCCAAATTGCAGCTCAAAGTTCTAACTTGATGAAACTGAAAATTAATTTAAGCAAAATCAAGAAAAATCTATAAATAAAAAACAAATTAATCTTAATCAAGCTAAAATTGAATGTATCCTATAACCATTCAGACACAAAAGAGCATCCCCCAATCAGATAGGCTCAATCAAAACTCAGAGCACAACTCAGAATTCGACAACCTTCCAAGACAATCAAAGCCCAAAAAATCCAGGCACAAGCATTTAATCCAAGCAAACTTAAGCAATTACGGTACAAACTGGTTTGAACCTCAGAAGCCTGAGGAATCGAGTAAACAAAAAATCAAGGAAGACCGAACAGACCTGCAGTACTGAGAGAAATCAAGAATTTCTGAAGCGGAAAAAAAAAGAGAGGAAACCCTAGATTCCCCTTTCTTGCAGCGCTTTTATTACTTTAGAGGGTTAGATGAGGAAGCGAGAGGAGAGAAGAGAAGGTAACGGAACGTGATGGAGTTGTTTGCAAGTTTGGTTTGGTGGACGAAGGTTTTCTCTTCTCTCCGTCTGTCATTAAATCCCCATCAGAGAGAGAAAGAGAGGAGGGAAAGGTTGGTAGGTAGTTTTCGGTTGAGTTTGGTCTCTTCCTCCTCGGCGATTCTGTTCTATTCCTCGGCGATTTATTTGCGTTTTTTCTGGACGGTCCTTGTTCTCTTACTGATACTTAATGGGTATTTTTTAGAACAAAATTAATAAATAAATGGGAAAATTCTAGATTAGGGTACTTTTGTCTTTGGGTCTAATGTCATTTTGGTCTTTGAAAACGTGACAATTTAGTATATGTCATTAATTAGTCGTTAAGTGTTATTTGAAAAGACACAAATACCTTTCAAGTGTCATCTAATTCTCTTTATTAATTATTTAAACATTGACAAAAGATGAATAGTCTCAAATTCTTGCCTCTTTTGTTCGATAAAATTGGGATCACGAGAGCTCTCATGAGACATAACCCTAACTTTCTTGAATAGAAGAGGCATGGATTTGAGACTGTTCATTTTTTATCAACATGTGGATGGTTGATAAAAAAAAAATTAGATGACACGCAAAGAGCATTTGTGCCTTTTCAAATACCACTTAACAGTTGGTTAACAGATTGGTTAATGACAGGTATTGGATTGACACAATTTGAAAGTTTGGGTATTGAATTGTCACGTTTTGAAGTTTGGGGACCGAAATGGCACTAGGCCCAAGGTACATGATACTAATTGGGAATTTTTCCTAAATAAATAAACAATGAAAATTTCCTTCTTTTAATATCAATAAGGACTAGATAATTTTTTCATTTTAGTCTTATAATATCATTGATTGATGAGATGATTAATCCAAACCATCCATTTGATGGGGGAAATTTGGGTCGGGATTTGCTCCACACTGAGTCCACCTCACAACCACATCCTACCATGTATTAGGAATATCTCTCTATGAATAATAACACAAAATATGAAAGAAGCGTTTCTGATGTGCAGCTGTGAGGCATTGTGAGGTTGGTATAAGGAGCACTTTGTGAGGAGCAGACCCCGATTCACCTTAACCATATAAATAGTATTATGTTCCACATCAGTTCATAGGTGCCATTCTGTTATTGTGATGGGATCTGCTCCCCACACAGGCACATCCACCGTAAATTGGGAATATCTCCCGTGAATAATAACTTATAAGTACGTGAGATGTTCCCAATGCATGGGAGACCGAATCTGCTTCTCACACAGGGCACCTCACTCGTGCCTCACTCACGCACATTGTACCATGCATTGGGAACATCTCCCATATTTATGAATTATTATTCACGGGAGATATTCCCAATGCATGGTGGATGTGCATGTGAGGTACCCCCGTATGAGGAGCAGATCCCCGTTCCAATGCATGGTAGGATCGATGTGAATGTGAGGAGCAGATCCGGTCCCTCTTTTATTGTACATAGCTCTAATATCTCTTGAATCTTTTATGCAAGGATTTGACTTGCCACGTGGAAGGCAGCTACTGGATAGGAACTTCCACACAATTGTCATGTGTCAAAATTCAAAAGGAGAGTCTAGGATGGGGGGGTCGTACACTAGTATATCGTATATGAACAGAAAATTTTTCAGAACAAAATTTTGTAGCGTAAACTGCCTCATTTACATTTACATTAAAAAGAAAAGAGTAAAAAAGAATGGAAAAATATGTTTTTGTTGTAAAAGGATGAAAGTAATAGCTGAAATATTTTCGCAGAAACAAAACCAACAACAGCTCAAAATTATAAATCATCATCATCTAAGTCTTATGCCAATTACAAGTAATCTACATGAATCTTATTTAACCAATGCTATATCCATTGTTAAATTACAAGTGTTAATAAAATCATAAGCAATATTTCAAAGATTCAACTTGCAATAATTTGTTTATTTTAAAAAGAAAAAAAAAGCTTTTAATAGCTTGTTGCCTTGTCCAATAGAAGAATTTGATCACACCTATATATATTAAAAGAAGGCTTTCATGCTACAACCTCCATCATTCAGACACGTGACTTTTTCAAATTTAAATACATGGCATTTTCTAAGAAATTGTTGTTAAAGCCCATAGACCACTATCACCATTCAGACAAGTGGTCTTCTCATTTTCTAAAAATCTAGACACGTGTCAATTTTTGAGAGATTCCTACTAATATGAGGAGTCTGGAATGGACCCCCCCCAACCGGTATATCATGGGATCCGTTTCCGTGTTAGGTGGGTAAAATGCCACCAACCGGTAAGGTTGCCCACCTCCGCCTGAATTGAGGAGTGGGTGAGCTAATGTAGCCCTTACAAAGTACGGTTTCGTTAGATGCGGAGTATGGTGACAAGATCTCCGTGGTTGCAATGCGATGGTCGGTCTGACTAGGAGGCGAGCTGTCCGTAAGGTGTCAGGCTGCTTGATGGCAAGCTTCCTGAGCTCGTGCTCTTTAGATCCGAATGCTGAAGTGCCTTAGTACCGAGGTAGGCTTGTTTTCGAGGTGGTCCATCTGTCCGGGCTTGATCTATAGCGGACTTGTTATCGTCACTCTAGTCGCGATCTAATACCGGGGTGATCTTAGTTCGGGATAGCTTCAGTTCGGGGCATCAGGATACCCGATGTCGCTTTATAGCGAATTGACCATGCTGAGTTGTCACTTGTGTTGAGTCACGTCCACGTGGCGATCTGATCATGCTGATTTGTCACTTATGCCAAGTCACATCCACGTGTCTCCCTGTTACGACGTTGAGCCAAATTTCCCTTCATCAGTACCTATAAACATAGAGTTGTTAATGGGTTGAGTATATTCGATAGAACCAAATTGAACCAATTATATTGGTTGGGGTTCTGAATTTTGTATTCTAATTATAATTGGGTTGGGACCGATTTTTACTATTATGGGGAAGCTAAGATCCACCATCCAAGTTATCCATAAATAGGGGGGGGGTATTAGTCAAGGCATTGTGTTCAATTTGGGAAGAGTATAAATGTATGCACTAATATATTCATCTCTTAGTCTTAGGTGGATAAATAACATTCCCATAGGGAAAGTTGACAAGATGTTATGGGATAAAATTGCCCCTTATAATAATGTCATTTTATGGGAAAAAATGTCATTATTTTATTTAAGAAAAACTTTTGACCAAAAGAATATGGATAAGTGTATGCATTTACCTAGATAAATGGTTTCTTGAAAAAATGAATGGAGCCTAAAAGTATTTAGGTTGAATTGTTAATTTGATTTAAGAAGCAATATTAAGTTTTATTTGTAATTAACAATCTAACTCTTTTTTTTAGAATGGGAACCATACTAATGTATTGTCTTGAAAAAGATTAATGCAATATTTCATTTACTTGAGCCAGCAGGGAATTAAATTAGGAAACAAAACAATTTTAATGTGAAACTCGTGCCACCTTATTTACAATTTTTATTTATTATTCTCTTTTCTGAGTAGAAGGTTATCTACATGTTTGAAGTAGAAGCCCCCCTGTGGGAGGATTTTGCTCTTAATATGCATGAACAAGGACCAAGACGTATCCCAATATATCTTTTAAAATTACCTTTCTGATACACTTGACATTTCCAATACTTTGAACCTTGTGCATGAGTGGAAACAATTTGTATTATTAATGAATAGAAAATTTAGGTTGTGTTGACAAGCTTTCAAAGTATTTAATTCTAATGATTTTTCTGATTTTAAGAAGTTCTTTTTGAAGTTTTGATGTAAAAAATTGCTAAAAAAATAATTAGTTTTTTTGGGCTCAAAATTCATTCTGAAAAGTGACTCTTTGGAGTTGAAAAAAAAATAGCTTTGAAAAATTCATTTTAGATTCAAAATTCAAATATTCGATTTAGAACAAAAAAATAAGGCCTAGGTGAAGAAGAGACGAAATCATGTTTATCTTATTAGCAGCTAAAAATATGAACCATGTAATCTAGCCACCAAGGAATGCCCGTTACATTCATCCAAATACCAGACTTCTAGGATACAAATTGGAACTTGGGAGAAGAGGGACCAAGGGCAAGTGGTAAACCTGCATTGACCCAACTCTATTGGATTAGTGTTTGATCAACTTTAGTGGTCCATGAATCAAGTTTTCACCTGTATTTTTTTTACTTTTTTTTTTTTTATTTTTTTGAAACCGGTTCAGGGGGCTGGTTTCGGGTTCTTCCACCCCCTGAATCGGTCAGACCCCCGATACACCCACTATAGAGGCATATCGGAGGGGTCTCAAAATGATATATATCAGTCAATACAGGCTGATACGTGTCGATACTTTGAACCTTGCTAAAGAATATGATGTTATGGATCTGTTCGGGCACATTACCCAAGAAAACACATCCAATAACAGTGGGCTTGAATGAGAATGGCTTTCCTAACAGTGGCAAGTTTGTAAATTTGTATGTTGGGGGAGGGGGTATTTGCAGGTTTGCAATGTTGCTGAAGGTTTAGTTTAACAACTCATGGGAGCAGTGGGGCTCCACCTCCATATATGACCCACTGGGGCTGTAGGTCAGGCCAGGTTAGGTATTAGTCCAACCCTAAGTTCTAACCCTAATCCAATCCAACCTAATTCAAAGTCAGTTCCGGGTTGGATCCAACCTAACCCAACCTTTTTTTCATCCTTTAAAATCTTGTAGAAATTTTCAAGATCTTAACTCAACTTTCACTATATATATTAATAATCTTATGTTTTATTAGTATTTGTTTGTTGATGTTTTTATTGATTATTTTAGTATAAAATTCAGAAAAATAAGTGTTTGAAATGACTGTGATTTATTATGATCATGACTTATGATAGACCCTTTAGGTTCAGAAAAATAAACTATGATTTATGTTTTATAATTTATATATGACATGTACTATAAAATCCGTCTCAGATTGCACCTGAAGTAAAATCAGTCTCATGAATTTTAACCCTAACCCGAGCATAATCCGGCCCAAGTAATAGCCTTATGACCCATTGTAAGTTTTCTCTGAAAACAAAGTAAAAAAATCAGCCGTTCACTCTTCCATCCATAAACTGTAAACGTCCAAGAAGTTAAAATACATAAAAATTTGATAAAGTGGATGATGAAATCTATAAATTTGATGGCTAAAATTTCATTT